CATGGCGAATTGGGACTGGGAAGACACCGACTGGGATTGGGAAGATACGGAAGAATCATCCTGCGGAGAGGAGCAGAAGCAGATTATCTCAGAGCCAGAGATTGACAAGGAGTGGCTCCTTGGTATCCTAAGGGAATTTCACAAAGAACCGGTTAGTTCGGTAGAAACTATGATTTACAGTTAACAATTGCCTGTAGCGATTTTTGTTACGGCATCATTTAAACAGCCTATAAACGCTTTATTAGCAATGAAAATGCAACACATTTGAAGGTGTAGCGTACCAAGTATTGTTGAATTGCTTGCAAATTAACCCGTCATGTACACAGGTCACGATAAGCGAATGTAACGTAAGTCCGGGCTGTATGAGTAATGAAAGCGCGCTCAGTGCTATAATTCGTGTTAAACTCAAGTACGTGTTGAACGACACAAATACTACGCAAGATCTGTCGCTTATCGTCAAAGAGCTTCCAAAAGATGCGTTCAGTCGGTTCTTCGTTATCGAAGGCCAATTCGATCTTCGAGAAATTAAATTTTACACACAGGTAAGCGATCAGTCAATATATGCTACATCATGCTACATCAATATCATAAATTGTTCTATCCAACAAATAATAACTCGGATTCTATTTATATCAGGTCATGCCCGACCTGAAAGAATTTCAAAAGAAGCAACTAGCATCCCAGGGAAACGAATCGGACGAGGAGATTGTCTTGTCAGTTCCAGTATGCTATCACGCACATTACACACCGGCCGACGAATCGGACGATAACCCTACAACACCAGATTCTATTCTGGTGCTACACGATCTCCGTGACTATGATTTTCGACATATTAAATTTCGCGAAGGAATGACATACGATCAGACTAAAGTTGCGCTGGATGCTATAGCACGTATACACGCGCATTCTCTCGCAATGAAGGTTGTCGAGGGAGAGCCTTTGTCCGAACGTTATCCATTCCTCTTCCAAACAGCGAAAGCAACAGACTCGTATCAACAATTAGTTGAACGTGGTTTGCCGCAACTTGCCAAATTTTTGAAAAGTACGCCGGGATTAGAAGAGATACTCGAGGCTTTACTTGTACTACGACCTAGAACTAAGCACATAATATCGGCACTTCTTGCACCGGAAGGGCCGTTAGCCTTGATTACACACACAGATTTCTGGTGTAATAATCTACTTTTCAAAGAAGGGCCGTCCGGCCTCGAATGCTGCATCCTCGATTGGCAAATGGTCACTTATAGTAGACCAACTAATGATATCGCTCTGTTGTTAGTGAGTTCATTGCCAACTGAATTACGTCGAAAACACACAGAAACCTTCCTCGATATCTACTGGCAGGCTTTAAATAGCACGACTTCTCGTCTTGGCGTCGACATTCCTAAAGACTTGGGCTATACAAGAGAAGACTTAAATAAGGATTACAGACGATCGCAACTTCTCGCACTTCTACTCTGTATTGGATCCGTGGATGTTGCTTTAGGCGATACAGATACCGAACAACGCTTGATCGACGTTTTAAAAGACCTTCATAATGAAGGTGTACTTACAGATGAGACTGCGATTGCTAATAGCGAGAACGACTCTTAGTCAGCGTTATTACTGCCCATGATAGTGCTGCAGCGAATTAATATTCTATACGAAATGTAAATCGAGAAAGCAAAAGTTATAGAACTGATTGTTCAACAGTTCGATTCATCTGCCATTGACGTTATCATTGCGACTAACGTAATACATCTCAAGCAAAATGGCTTGTGTCGATAATTATGTAATTGCGGAATCCAAGTCACGAAGTATATGAGAATAGAATCGATGTTAGACTTTTGTGTTTCGATATTGGGTTGTTCTTACGATATGTATACCTATAATTTAGTAAGAACGTTAAGTAAACAAAAAATCAATAAACATTATATAAAGTTTTCAAATTAAAAACGGTTCGAAATGTAAAAGAATTGCCATAACAAATAACTTAACTCCGGTGAAACATTTTTCTCCACGAGTCAGTTAAATATAACAATCGTTTGATTGAAATTTGTTCTTTTATCGAAATTTCTTCCCGCAATTACTATAACGGCTATACGACCGACATTCTGTTACTGCTAATTCACATATGCAACAATTATATTATTCCATTTCTTTGTACAAACTATATAAATAAAATACTTTGATGTTGTCATGAATTTATAAAATGATTTTTAGATATAAAAATAATTCCCAAGTAATATTCATATACATATAAATAAACGGTATCATTACAACTTTAGTTAGTAAATTTTTCGATTTTTCTAATTAAAAAAAAAAAAAAACCTGTAAAACTACATTGATACTAGTTCATACATTATGATATACATTATGTATGTATACATGATGATATTATATATGAATATAAAAGATAAGAGTTTAACTTACAGATGCAGTTACTCCTCCAACAATAAAAGCGTTTCTCTTATGTTTGTTATCTTTCTCATATCTTGTATACAGTTCCTTTCCTACCCATACTGGAATACCTATAATGAAACATACATATATAATATTATAAATTTATATAAAATTTTTTCCTTAAAATTATATTTGTAAGCAAATGATATTTAGTTTGATATTAAAATATATGAAGAAAACATTTTTTATATTCATGGCATGTGTGTGTGTGTGTGCGCGTGCGCGCGCGCGTGTACACACATACCTATAATCATGGCAGGTACAGCTATACCAGCAGCAAGGCCAATTCCAACTGGAGCTCCCACTAAAGTTCCAAGTTGCCAAAGTATTTTCTTTTTTCTAGACCATGGCTTTTTACCCCAAAAGGTACAACCAGAAGGACTGTGATTAAATAAAACATTAATAAAATTAAATGTTATAGAAATATTATTTCATAAAAATAAATAACTTAAATAAATTATACCTTAAATAATGAAGATCACTGATTTCTTTCATGCATAACCAACAAAACTCGGCACCACAAACAGCACAAACCATATGATTGCAACTTCCATCATCCATTTTAACAATAAGGACTTGACACCTTGGACATGGTTTGACATCATCTTCTATGAAAACAGTTCATATAAAATACATTATTTTAGAATTTTAAAATTCATTTCTGGATCTTTAAATATAGATAACACATACTATGTTGCGAATCACTCTGACTGAAACTAAGAGATGAACTACGTTCATAGTATTGAGTGCGTTGAGCTCTTGCCGCATCGCATGTTTGATTAGGATGCCAACGTGCTTTACAATGATAGCAAAAATAGGAATCACATCCTGGTCGTTCACAACGTAATTTTGGACATGAAGCACAACCACTAGCAATAACTGCAAAGCTGCAATCTGGGGCAGGACACCATCTTGCATCGGGTTCTACGGCAAGAACTCGTCGTACCATAAAATCTTCATACTTTTCTAATTGCGTTTGATCATTTAGAATCATTCGAATGTCTATAAAAGAATATATTCAATAAACAATAGTAGTAATAATGAAATTTACATTATTTATATTAAAGAAGAAAAAATATATTTACCATTTGGATGAAGTGGTTCTGAACATTCAGGACATGCTATATTGACTCTAGATTCAGAAATTTCAACTTTAAGATATTGTTGATAACAATCGTAACAACTGCGATGATGGCAAGATTGGACAATAGGAAAAAATTCCACTGGTAATTCAGCCAAGCATAAAGGACACTCTACTAAACCATTTTCACTACTCTGAAATATTTATTTTTTAACCTAGGTATCATTTTAAATTATCAAATAATTAATTCAATTTATATCCAATAAATTAAATTCCAAAAGTTTCGTTCTAAATACATATTCTATAAATACCTTTCCAGCTGAAGATAGTACAGAGCCTTTACTGGAAGCACGTTCTATGTTCTGAAATTGAAAATGGCTTGAACCATTACTTACTCTGGCTTCTCCTTTTTCAACATCAGTTATTTTGCCACTAGTTGAATCTTTTGCTAAAAAAAACAGATAATAATGAATTTTCAATGAAACAAATAACTTTATTTTTTGTGTTTGATGATTATTTCCAATCAGATGATACTTATTACTTTTTGTATTCCTTGAACTGGGTGTCCTTGCAATTCGCCGACCAATAAGTGGACTTGAATATAATAATCGCCTTAAAGAAAATCGTGCCAACATTCTTCTTGGTCGAGGAGCTGTGCTGCTGCAACCTCCAGAACTGCTATCATTTTCTTTGAACATTCTAGATAGTATTATAGATCACTATTGACTCATTCTTTGTATCACAAGATTAAAGTATTTTAATCTGTAATAAATAGTGAAAAAAAATATTAAATATAAGACTTCTGAATTAATTTAACATATATATCACTATCCTGTTATATATATATATATAT